CGTCCACTTGAAGCAATTGTGGAGGAACGCATGATCGCATTCGCCACCTCTCTTGTGCTAGTGGCTTGTCTTATCTCTTTTAAGAAGGGAAGAAGCCCTTTGGGTCGCACTTTTTTTTATTTGGTGAAATATTCTGTAAGTAAATTATTACACAAGAAGCACACTAGGATACAAGCCCTCCCTAATCACATCTACAATTAAAAATTCCTAAACGGGATCAGGTAGCTCATTTCATGAAGACCCCTCGATACCATTCACAATAGTGGTTCTTAAACAAGGCGGTTGACAGAAGAATTCGATTTCTTTCATTATTTGACCAGGACCTCGTCAATCTCATCCCTAAAACCTGTAGGTAGAGAATGGGGGAATTCGTTTTCTTTATTAGATAAAGGATCGAACTTCTCCAGGAAAAACAAAGTTCATTTGAAAATATTCACACGATCTACTAAAACTGAAATTGCAGACCTGAGATGGCAACGAAATTCTATTGCGGGAGAATTAAACTTTCTCCCTTTGACGCCACAGAGAAAGTACACAAAACGTTCACAACGGAGTACGTTGCTTATAAACCTTTGCAGAGAAAAGGTCGTAGTCAACACTGGAAGAACCATCCACCGAGCAAGCTGATGCGTTCTCGGTGAATTGTTCTTCCTATGACGGCAATATGTCCATTACCTAAGAACAAAATGAAAACTTACTCAAACCTCTCTAGAAAAGTAGGCAAATTTTAATCTCAGGGTGACAGTGGTTGATAAACGAATTTCTTTTTTTCATTACGTTAAGCGATTGCCGGCCACAAGAAAAAAAAAGTTCATTAATAAAGAATACATGATCTACTGAAAGTGAAATTCCAGAACTGAGATGGCGGACAAAATTCTCCTGCTAGAGGGTTTACCTTGGGAAGGATACGAAGAGCATGTCTCAATGAAATATGACTTTCCAATAACCCCAACAACCAGGATGATAAAGATTCTGACAGGCTTGCTCATGCAAGGTGTCGAGGGTCATACACATGGACAACTTGTGTGGAAATGGTCACCTGTGAAAAGTTCGAAACAAGAATTTTCTTCCAATGTCATTAGAAGATCCAGTGCGCGAGAACCAAATGAGCCAATCACGTCAAAGAACTTTACCTGAACTTCACATTGAAAATTGACGTGGAGACTTCCTCATACTTTTGTTTTTTAATTTACGGAGCTGTTTTTAGCTGTTTTGAACATTCTTTCGTGCAAATTTGTTACCACTTTGTTTAGAATTTAAAAAAAAAATTGAGTTTTTATTTTATTCAAATGTTGTGGTTATTTTAACAAGTTCAATATATATATATTTTACGGAGTTTGGAATCTGGCTTCTTTTTTGTTGATGAATTTTTAAAAATGATCCCTTCAATCTTTTTCGGGAAACGGTGTGGAATACGGTTTCCGTTCTTACTACGCAAGCTGACCTCTAGATGGCTTACCCACTGGCATATTCCGAGAATCCGAACCAAGGCAGTGCGAATAGAGAAATTATTTTCAGTTCAGCGTCGAACGCAATGCCGTATTACCTTGGCGTTACTACGCTATGCCGTTTGTTCCGGAAAATGATGCGCCACTTTTTCAACCGCGTAAAGGTCGCACTAGCCTTCTTATGTGAGGAAAAAAAGCGTTTTTTAGTGACTATCACACTGCAAGGGTCGATGGTGAGTTTCATGTGCTTTTTCGCTTTTCTAAAACCCTGATAACGCTAAACTAAGATTTACCTTTGAAACTCCGTTACTTAAAAAGATCATTTTCCATTACATCTTTCCCATAGACGGTTTACGATTTCATTAACATGCAGCAAAAAAGACTGCCACACTGTGACGAAAAGCATAAACGCAAATTGTGACAAAAGGTTTGAATGTGTCTGTTAATTGACGTCACAGAGACTAATCCATTAAACCTAATTGATGTTGCTCGCGCGGTTTTCTACTCGTCAATCGGTGAAATTAGATGACTTTTCCTTACTAAACCTGTTTCCGAGGTCACTCAAAAAAACTTAACCAATCATAGGAAAATGAACAATGACTCCTAGGCGGTCAGTGATCAAATGACCACACAGATGAAACGCTTTCTGATAAAAATAACAATGCTTTTTATCAAAATGTTTTTGATCACCAGTAAAGTAACTTAAATTTATCTTTTACGTTAATGAATGGTAAAGGCGTTAGGTCAAAAAGCTGTTACAACTGTTCGTATTCTTCAGTTATGGCTGGCTTGTCTAAAAAGCCAAAAAAATTTACCTGAGGGTGCGATAACTCGTCAAAACCCTCTAAAACTGAGCGAATGATAAAAGAAGGCTTTGCGATTCACTGATTAGAGGTTTTTCAGAAATCCTCTTAATCAATATCATTAGGCCTATTTTCATGGTTTTATTTGTTGACCTCTCAGAATCAATCAAATCAGCAGCTAAATATCAATGAACCCTTTCCTACTTCGTCGTCTTTAAGGGTGTTAATTCTTGATCCTATGGTCTTTGACGTAAGCCATTCGCGGAAGACGAAAAGTATTTCAGATTCATGCTCAATTAAACTTGTCTCCTCTTCGAAAATTAATGTAGAAAACTGCAAAATAATTTACAACATATTAATCCGTATACAAAGTATTTTATGATTTCTCCAAACGTTCATATCTCAACTTTTTTTCTTCGAGGTGTTTATTTCCGTTATTTTCATTTCTGTTGCTTTCGTCTGATATATGTCTTGTTCCCATGGTGTTTGCGTGTTCGAAAATTTTATCATGGAATTACATGACTCACTTTTAATGTGTCCACCACGGCTGTCACTTATCGTTTGCGACGACAGCGAATTTAAGCTCGTTAGTCGTCTTAGTGTCTTGCCGAACGGTTGTTTGTGGACTTGTACACAATTCAATTGATCAGTTAATAATAATGATAAATGATAATAGAGATGATGATGACGATGATGCTGATGACAATAATGTTTATGAGAGACATGATGGCTATTACAATGTTAGCTTACCAGTGCTTTTATCAAAAAGGGATCTGGTGAAAATGATTACAAAGGACTCTACAAAACTTTCTTAAAAATGATACAACAAAGTTGCACTTATTTAAAGGTCCAAATTGCAAGTAGACTGTGAACAGCTTTCGATCCGTGAAAAGTAGGATGCTCTTTTCTTAATCTCTTTTCACACTCTCGGGTGCAGCCTTAATCATAACTA